AGCTCAGCTGCACCGCAGCCTCCATCGCCAGGATCTTGGTGGCGCTATCCCTGTACAAACGCTGTGTCTCGGCCTTGCACCCGCCGCTTGCCCGGCCTCTCAGCTGGGGGCTCGACTGACCAGCCGGGGTTGCAGTACAGGTGGTGGTCGGCATTCACGTGGTAGTCTAGGCACACTGCCTCCAGCTGCTGCTGCCGCTGCCGCTCTCGGTTTCTGAAAAGTACTGGCGGAGCTCTTCCGTGATTTCCATGTTGCTCAGGTCGTACTCCTCCTCCTCTCACTCATTTTCTGCCTCTTCTTTGGACAAAGCTTGGTCTTCTACTGTGGATGTCTGGATCCTGCTGCTGTCATATGTGTGTTGCCCAGACTTTCTGAAAGCCAAGTAACATGGGAAAGAGAAATTGGACTCCACTGCCTTCCTGTAGGCAACCTGGTGGCTTCGCATCCAAGTCATCGCTTGCTGATAATGTTGCCAGTATCTTGCATATACTGGATGAGAATACCAAGCGTGGGGAGCTTTCGACGTTGACGCCTTTGCTTCCATCACGGATTGCCAAGTCTCAATGGGCACTGGACCTCATGGGCGCGCAGATTGCAGATCTTGGGCGGTGGGCAAGCGGGGGCCTACTTTTCTTGAGAGATATTGGGGGGAGATGAGGGGGAATTGGGAGTAGGGGATGTGGTTGTTGCCTGGGCGACAGTCATATCATCTTTTTAAAAATCATGCCCATAGCCTATGATTTTCAGAAGTTTTACAAATTTATTTATTAATATATTTCAGTTAGGTGAAAATCTAAGACATAAGCAAAGCAATTATATATGGAATCTAAGTGATATGCAAAAATTTAAATAGGGCATATGCAAAGAATTGAATGTGTACTCTTTCTCAAGCAATGGTTTTCAATTCTGGCTACACAGCTGAAATCACCTGGGGAAATTTAAAAAATTCCAGTGCCCTAGGACAACTTATTTCGGAATCTCTTGGGTTGGAACTTTGGCATAAATTTTTTTCCAATTATCCTAGGTAATTCCAATATTACAGTGAAGTTGAGAACCACTATTATTTTTGTTTTATCTCTTCATCCCTCCCAGCCTATGTTTCTTTTCATATTTAAATTTGCCAGTGGGCATGTTCATTTGTTGGAGAGAGATGGGGGTGAGGGGTGTAGGAAAGCATCCACCATAGGGAATGGTGCAATCCCTTCTCCATTTCTACTTTCAGGATTTGGGGTATCCATTCACATGCACATGGTGTGTTTCTTTAGCTGCTGGATCTCGCTCGAACTGTGCAGTTGTCCTCCCTTATCTTTTATGGTAGTATTCATATTTATAATAGTCATATTTCATTGAATAGCATTTTGCTTCAAGCAATTCATTTGTACTGAATATTCTATAAACAGTCCACTTAGTTTCCAAGAACACCAACTTTCTTTTTGTATTTATATTTCATCAGCTCATATTAAAATTAAATAATAATAAGTAAAACTGGGATTAATAGGGCTAGTGGCAAATATTTACTTTTAATAATCACACAAAACAACCAGGGGAAGAAATGTGCTAGACTCTATGTTTTCAGCCAGAAATGTTAAGTATGCTTTGGAAATCAACATATATTACAAAGGAGTTGAAATCTATTTACAGATAGATTAATCTTGTGATTTGGATAGATCATTCATTGTTTTTAACTTTTCTTTCTTCTAATGAAATGAGAGGTTCAGATTATGGAATTTTGACAGAGAGATGTGCTTAGTTGCTTACTCAGGCCCAGACATTTTGGAATTAAGACACTAAGAAACCCAACTTTTCAGACACTCAGTGGTTCACATGATTTAAATTACTACTGATATCTTAAAACTTCTAAATATATACTTAATTAAGGAGAAAAAAATAATGCTGCTTCTTTTTTCCAAATAAGCAGAACTGTTTTTGCTGAAATTAAAGATAACAAGTAAATTTACTCATTTTCCAATACTTTGCTAACTGTAATGGAAGAATTGCATTACTACTTGTCATAAACAAGCCACATTATCAGAGATAATTTTTGATACATATAAATTTTGCTCAAGTTCTTGTAGTCACTAGAATAAAAATCTGTACATAGGTCTGTGCGTTCTACACTATTAGCATGAATGACTGCATTGACTGCCAACTCTGCAGGAACTGGGAATGGGAACAGGGTCACAGAAGATGCAACCCAAGTTAGGGTTAAAACTTACCAAAATATGATTTTTTAAAAAAGACCTACTTGTTGGAAACAGCCGAAAGCTTACCCCTAGCTAATAAAACAATTTATTATTTAAGTTTTTCAATTGTGGTAGGAAACCTGGAAAATAACTCCTAATGGTCTCTATCTCCTGGTATTCATACACTTGGGTAATTTCCTCCTTATGAGTGTAAGTTCGACCAGTACCTAATTTCTATGTAATAGAATATATAAAAGTAATGAGATATCAATTCCCAGATTATGTTACAAAAGATTTGGCTTCTTCCTTGCTTGCTCTCTATTGCACTCTTATGTGCTTTCTTGGATCAAAGCCAGTTGTCATACTGGGACTCAATGACGAGGCCCACATGGCAAGAAATTGAGTGGACACTCTAGATAGAAAGCCAGTGAAAAAGTACATCCTGTCTACAACCCTTGAGTAGGCGTAGAAGCAGACCTTCCCCCAATCGGAGGGGTTTTGTGACAACTACAGCCTCAGCCAATATCTTGACTGCTGCCTTATGAGAGACTCTGAGCCAGAGAAAGGACCCAACCAAGGCATACACAGATTCTTGACTTCTTGGGTCTGTAAGATAATAAATCTTTCAGTTGATTTAAGCTAAGTTCTGGGGTACTTTGTTACTCAGCTACTGATAACTAACACAGCAACTGATTTCACTTTTGGGATATCACAAAAGATCATAGTCATCAGTTCGTCAATAAGCAAAGTACTCTTTGCTTTTCTCCCTATCAATTTATAATAACTTTCTTGAAAAAGTCACTAATGTTGGCAATCCCCACTTCCTTTTTACTCCATCATTTTTCTACTCACTAAAATCTTATTTTTATTCCAAACATTCTTCTGATACTGCTCTTCCTGAGGTTATTAATAATATTAGTTAAATAAAACATACACTTTAATTCCTATTTATTGAATGTATCCCATTCACATTAACACTTATTAAAACATCTATCACATGCCAAATATTCTTCTAGTCACAGATTCCTTTTCTCTTAGGGGTTAAAACAACCTACCAGTAAGAAAATAAATATATATTAGGTTATTGGGCAAGCCATGACATGTTTTTCTATGCAAAAATGTGTCATGACTTTCCTAATGACCTAATAATACAATTTCAGTAGTGATAAATTGTATGAAGGAAATAATGCAGACTAATGTTACACAGAACTATTTCAAGCACAGCAGGGTGTTATAGGACAGCATCTGACAGGTCTGATGGTTCCCTCCTCAAACACTAGCTTCCCTTGGCAGCCATGACAACCTCATCCTTATCAGCTCATTTGTAGTTTCTTGTGTATAATCTTTTTTTATGCTTATAATTTTTTTTTATTTTTACTTTTTAAGTTTGCTCTAGGACATGTGTACTTGTAGGGGGAGGTAGGGAGAGGGTAGGAAAGGGAGGGGGAAAGAGAGGGAGAGTGAGAGAGAGCGTGAAATCACCTCCTAGGGGGATGGCCAAACTGCAATACATTCTCCATTCTCCTCTTAGAATTTTGGGCATGGATGTGCCCAGCTTCTTTTTCCAAGCCACAGGGTCTGGGATTGAAACCCTACAGGCTGCCTTAACATCCATGCCACCTACTGGCCCTCTTCAGTATAATCTTAAATGTTGATCAGATTTTTGCCACTGAACTGTTTCCTACTCTACAAATAGTGCCTAGGTCATCTAATTTCCTCTTCATAACTTTACTAGTCATCTTATACTAAAGTTATCTACATTTCTCCTGAGTATAAAACTCATATATACAACTGTATCCTCCCCTCTCAAAGTGAATAGCTTCACAAGTTCTTCAAAATCAGTAAGAGCAAAATTAAAACTTGCTTCCCCTTTGGAAAAACGTATCTCAAAGTACGTCACCAACATTCATCCTCTATACAAGACACATATCTGGGTCTCATTTTTGACTCCTCCTTTTTCATCATTCACTCATTCAATATATTTCCATGGCTGGTTAATTTTATATTTTAGATATTTTTCATATCTCTTCATTCTCTTCATTCCATTTGCCACTGGTTTGGTCCAGGCTTCCATCAGTTCTCTCCTAGACAACTACAGTTGAAACAGTTATCTAACTTAGTTCCAACTCTTGCTTTCGACTTCAATCCATTCTCCAAGCAAAAAGCAAAATTAAAAAACTATTTCCTCATTCTTGTCTTCATATCTCTTACCAAGCACACAAGGCTCTTCCTAGTCTCCTACTTCTCCAACTTCATTTCTTGCCAGTGGTCATCTACTCCAATTCTCTGCTCTAGTCACTCTGAACTTCGTTCAATTGCAGTCCTATACCTTGCCTTTAGTGAGCAAGAACTTTAAATGAATATATTGACTAAATGAATGAGTGGATTCTTCGAGAAGAATTATCCCTTTGGGAAGTTAATAAGAAGGAAAAGGAATAAAGTAAAACTAAAAACTATCTTCCTTTAGGTTTATGGAGTCTTCGCCTGAGCCTGTGTGCACATCCACTCGCCTACAAGCTAATTATTATGTGGGTGCTTCAGAAAGTTCAAGGTAAATGCGTATTATTAAACTATACACAGATTTCAATTTTCTGCACCCAAATAAACTCATACTTTAATTCCAATTCCTGAACTTTTTGAAACACTCTCGTATATAAAAAAATGTCCTTTCACAAGTCACAGAATAGAAGAGAAAGTAAATACGAGTGGTAATTGGTGGAAAATAAGTGATGAGATGGGCAAGTGTGGGGCAAAGTTAGCAGCCCAGGGTTCAGATTCTAACTGGCATAACTAAAAAATGAAACAAATTTCTTTTACCTCCTGGTGGACTCCACTCTCCGGAGGCGAAGAGGGTCCTCCAAACCCGCTTGTCGCGCGGACAAAAAACCGAGCATCGCGTTCTCTCACACCGGCTCCAGCGCTGGACGCTGCCATGACAGGACTTAGGGGCGGGGCTGCAATAGCAGAATCTCCTATTGGCCACGCGGTAGTACAAACCGACCAATGGTGAACAGCATTACTTGGGGGCGCGAGGAGGCGGGCAGGCCTCCCGCACAGTGGGCGGGGCCAGCGGCTTGCGAGTGTCTCCTGCTGCGGCGCTGCTTCTGCGGCTCCGGCCGCGGTGAGCTGGGCGTTCGGCATGGGCTGGTCTCAGAATTTATTCCGCGGCTTGTGGGGAGCGCTATCAAAGGAAACGAAGGTGCATGTGGGCACTGATCCTCTCGGGAACAAGTACTACTATGTCCCGGAGTACAAGAACTGGAGAGGTGAGAAGAGGGCGAGGGCAGCAGTGGCGTGCTCAGTAAAAGCAAGAGCGTCCTGTCAACTAACTCCCGCGACGCTTTGGGTGTAGCCGGAGAGGATATCCCGAGTTCGTATGCCCCGCGCTTCCCCTTCACAGGGTCAGATCCCTGGCCCTCCTGGCTCCCGGCGGCTTGCGCTGAGCGGTTTTGCGCTGTTCGGCCTCGCCTGTCGGCTGTCCGAGCGCCCAGCGCCTTCCCGGGGTGCGCCGGGGCGGCCCGCGAGCACCGCGCACACCCCTTTCCTCCCAACCGGAGAGCCACTCTATAGAGGACGTCTCAGGTTTAGTCCTTGCCATTGGGCGACACAGGCAAGGTCCACAGAGATCTTTTACCCGAGGAGCTAGGAATGGCTAGGGAAGTGACTTTTCGTGCGCCAAGTCTCTGTCCCTTTACGACCTAGGGCTGAGTGGTAATTGAAGAGGAGTGTCTTCAGTTCCTCGCCTTTCCTCTTCCTTGATATACCTTTTTCAGCGGCAGCTTGGCTTCTGCGCTGTCCACATCTTCACCTTCACAATCCGAACCTGTCAGAAGTAGGTCCCTGCACACTAACAGTGTGGTAAAGAGTTCCTCACAGGCCCCCGTTTTGCTTCCCAGGAGTTGGCATTCTGAGGCCCAGTTGAGGGCAACTTAAGAAACATGATTCTATTATTTTTTTTTTAGTATTATTGTTCTTTATACATTCAATCATTATACATCATTTAGTTTCCATGGAGTACATATGCCACACTTTTTCAATCCATTCATCTGTGGATTTTTGGAAAAGTGCTGGCAGGGATGTGGTGAAAGGGGAACTCTCATACCTTGTTGGTGGGAATGTAAATTGGTCCAGCCACTGTGAAGAACATTATGGAGGTTCCTCAAGGACCTTCAGATAGAACTACCATATGACAATTCCACTCCTGGGTATCTACCAAAAGGACAGGAGAACCTTCAGTTGGAGAAGCGCTTGTACAGAAACATGGTTCTCATTGGAGTGTTTCTGTGTAGGATTCGTGTGGAGGAGTGGAACAGGTTGTAGTCAGGAGGAGTTTCTGTCCATTGAAATCACACATGTAGCAGCCATTATAACATGTGTTGCTCCATCACTGCCATCCAGGTCTCAGATTTCAGAAGAAAGGCTTACCTTTGAATCTCAGCTCTGACAACTGTTAAGGGATCATGGACAAAGTAGTTGTTCACTGCAAGTCTCAGTATCCTCACTTTAAATTTAGAGATTATACTAATAGCAATAATACTAAGTACTAAGATATTTCCAAAATTGTGTTGCATTTGTATCATATACATATAAACTATATTTTAATATCTTAGACTTGTTTTCCTAGTGAGCTTTTAAGCATTCTGTTCTGGCAGGGACTATGTCTTTTTTAAAAAAAAAAAAAAAGCCTACAAAGAACCCAGCCTACAGGGTCAGCAGGTGGTGTGGTAGTTAAGACTGTGGATTCCCACGTGGTCAACCAGGGTTTGAAATTGTACCCGGTTGCTTGAAAGTCATGCCAAGCATGTGTGTGTGTGTGTGTGTGTGTGTGTGTGTGTGTGCGCGCGCGCGCGCGCCTCTCTTTCACTCACCAGCATGAGCACACGCACACTATGGCAAAAACCAAAAAGAGAGAGAGAGAACCTAGCATGGAAGTTAAATATTTTCGGTAGATTGCAAGCAGAAATAAAGATGCTTCTGGGACCAGCAGTTAGCGTAATGGCTATGTCGCCGAACTCACACTGGGCGTGTGTGAGTGCATGCTCAAGATCTCGAGAGGAGAATGGAGGAGAAGGGACTGCAGCATGGCCTTACCCCCTGGGTGGTGATTTCAGCAACATCAAAGAAGAATTTAAAAACTAAACAGAATTCTAAACTATTAAAGAAACTGAATTAGTAGTAAAAAATTATTTTCCTGTACAAAAACCATTGAGCTGGGGCCAGTAGGTGGCATGGTGGTTAAAGACACTGGACTCCCACAAGGCTGACCATAGTTTGAGTCCCAGACCTGGCGGCTTACTTTCTAACTTTACCTCTCACTCTGTCCCTCTCTTGTCAAATTAAAATAAATAAATAAAGTTAAATAAAAATAATTCTTTAAAAAAAAATTGAGCCGGGATCAGCAGTTAGGGTAATGGCTATGTTGCTGGACTCCCATGTAGTCGACTGTGGTTTAAGCCCCAGACCCGGTGGCTTAAACTCACGCTGGGCGCGTGTGAGTGCATGCCCAAGATCTCGAGAGGAGAATGGAGGAGAAGGGATTGCAGCATGGCCATCACCCCTGGGAGATGATTTCTCACTTTCTGTCTCTCTGTCTTTCTCTGTCTTTCTGGTGAGCGCACATGCCCTATAGCAAAAACCTCTACAAAAAAAAAAAAAAAAGAAAGATAAAAGAAAGATGCTTCTTTTTTTTTAAAAAAAAAAAAGTTGTCAGTAACATTTGAAAATATGCAAAATGACAGATGGAGTTTTTGGGAATGTAATTTACATACAAAACCTTCATATAGTGTATGGTTTTCTGGTTTTTGACAAATGCATATAGTAGTGTACTATCATCACAAGATAATAGAACAGTTTCAGCACTTCCCAAATTCCCTCCTAAACTTTAGCTCATTTCCACACCCCATCTCCAGCTCTTGGCAACTCCAGTGTGCTTTATATCCCTATAGTCCTGCCTTTCCCAGAATGTCATATATTGAATAAGTGGAATTATATAGGATGTAGTCTTTGGAGTCTAGCTTATTTTCAGATGGTGGTTGATATTTATCCACATGTCAGTAGTTGTTTCTTTTCCTTTTGTTTTCCTATAGGGCATGTGCACTCTTCAGAGAGAGACAGAGAGAGAGGGAAAGTGAGAAATCACCCACAGGGGGAGAGGGTTAGGAGGTGACCATGCCACAATCCCTCCTCCTCCATTCTCTTTTGGGGTTTTGGACACTCTTGCAGACACATATATCCAGCGTGATTTTTCAGGCCTCCAGATCCAGTACTTGTACTGTAGTTAGCCATGTGGGATTTGTTGCCTTAATCACCTCACCACCATTTTAGGATCCCCTATGCCATTTTAAGATCCAGTTATTTTGTTTTATTGTTACTGAGTTTGTAGGAGTTGCTTGAACTTCTTTTTTTTTTTTCAGTATGCTGTAGGTCATGTATACTCACCAGAGAGACACACACACACACAGAGAGGGGGGGGGGGGGGGAGAAAAAGTGAAAGTGAGAAAATATCCACTAGGGGGAAATGGGCACACTGTAATCCCTTCTCCTCAATTTTTACCATGAGATTTTGGGCACACATGCACATGCACCCAGCATGTTTGTCAAGCTGCCAGATCTGAGACTCAAACTGTGCAGTTGGCCATATGGGATTCAGCTGCTTAATGACCATGTCACTGGCTAACCTTGTATATTTGCATATTAACCTTTTATTAGATACATAATTTGCAAATATTTTCTCCTTTTCTGTAGGTTGCCTTTCCGTTTTGTTAATGGTTGCTTTGCAGAACCTTTTTAATTTGATGTAATCCCATTAGTCTTTTTTTGTCTGCGCTTTGGTACCATATCCAAGATATTATTGCCAGGGGCAATATCATGAAACTTTTTCTCCACTATTTTCTTCTAAGAGTTTCAGATCTTTCATTTCAAGACTTTAATTAATTTCAAGGTGATTTTTGTAGATGGCATTAAATAAATGCCCAGTTTTATTCTACATGTAGATATTCAGTTTTTCAAATGCTACTTTTTGAAGAGACTATCTTATATTCATTGTGTGTTCTTGGCATCTTTGTCAGAAAAAATCGGTTGTGGGCTGGCAAGTGGTGTGGTGGTTAAGACACTGGACTCCCACCTGGCCACAGTTCAATATGAGTCCTGGACCTTGTAGCCTGCTTTCTCTCTATCCCTCTCTCTCTGTCTCTATTTGGTCAAATTAAAAAATAATAATAACAAATAAAGTTAAATAAATTAAAAATTCTAAAAAATATATCAGTTTACCTTATATACATGGATTTATCCCTTAGTTCTTTATTCTTTTCCACTGTTCTATATGTATGTTTTATGCTAGTATCATGCTGTTTTGATTACTATAGCTTATAACATATTTTGAAATCATGTAATGTAATCTTGATGCCTCTAGCTTTGTTATTTTTGCTCAAAATTGCTTTGACTGTTCAATGTCTTTTGTGGTTCCATATGAATTTTAGTTTTTTTCCATTTCTGTAAAAAAAGAAAAAAGCTATTGAAATTTTGATGGGCCAGTAGGTGGCATAATGGTTACATCGCTGTACTCCCACATAGTTGTAAGTCCTGGACCCTGTGCACATTAGTGTGTGTGTGTGTGTGTGTGTGTGTGTGTGCCCTAGATCCCACGAAGAGAATGGAGAAGAGATTGCAGCATGGCCATCCTCCCCAGGGAGTGATTTCTCACTTTCTTTCTCTCTCTCTCTGATAAGCACATATGCCCTATAGCAAAACTATCTCTCTCTAAAAAAAAATAAAAGGAAAATTTTGATAGAGATTGCATTGAATAGATAGATTACTGTGGGTAGTGTGGACATTTTATTAATATCCATTCTTTCCATGAATATGAGATGTCTTTCCGTTTATTTGTGTCTGCTTTTTGTCATGAGTGTTTTATAGTTTTCTTTGTACAAGTCCTTCAGCTCTTTGGTTAAGGTTATTCCTAATTTTATTCTTTTTGATGTTACTATAAAAGGGGTTGTTTCCTTAATACCATTTACAGATAATTTGTTTATAATACATAGAAATCTAACTGAATTTTGCATGTTGATTTTGTATCCTGTAATGTTGTCAAATTCATTTATTAGCTTTAGCGGTTTTTTTTTTATTTGTGTGTATGTGGGGAGGGGATCTTTATAGTTTTCTACATATAATATGTCATATGCAACTTCATCTTTTGGATGCTTTTTCTTTCTTTACTTACTTAATTATTCTGGTTAGAACTTTAATTGTGTTGAATAGAAGTAGTAAG